CCCCCGGAAAGTAGAATTAGCTTCAGACTGACACTGGAAAAGCACAGACCACACAGAGGAGCATGCTTGTGTGAGAGATGAAGGCCTTTGGTATGCTTCCATGGGTAACTGAGAACTGATTTTGTTTCTAAAGTAGTGTTGTCTGGCAAACAAATAGATCATATTGCAAGACAGAAAAAGATTCCAAGAGAAGACACTTAAGTCACTTACATGTTAGTATCCATTATACTGCAATACAAGCAGATGGAATCAGAATTTTGGGAAATTAATTTTAAAATAATCCAAGTGATGTTCAGCTAGGAACAAATTATACTTTTGTTTCTATCTCTCTCCATGTATTTTTATAAACTACATATTAGAAAGCTAAAGTTTGTAAATTTAAAAAAATTGGTATGATTTATTAGAAATTCAGACTTCAGGCCTTTTTTTTTTTTTTGCTTTAATACTTTGAAATCCTAGAGAAATAACATTTTGCCAACCTTTATATTTTTTCCAGTCAGTAATTCCAATTTAACTCAGAAGTAAACTGTGAAAAACACCCTGCTTGTCCTCTAAAATTTAATTCTCTTGTTCAATTCAATTAAGAATTCTCCTACCCTGGAAACACCAGGGAAAATCAGAATTCCTGAAACAGAGAAATGAAGTGTAGCCTTCAATAGCAAGGATCATAGAATCTATAAACACTGGAAAGGATCACTAAAGCAATCTATTTCAACCATCAACCCATCATCAAGAAGTTGAGAACTCAGGTCCAAGCTCTACGTTAGGGATCTACTTCCTCTTTTTATTCTAATGAATCACAGAAGAGTAGTTTCTGTCACAGATACATGAGAAGGGAATCTCTCAGGCCACAGTATTGCTTTTCCTCATTGAACAATGATTATTAGGAAAAGCAATAAGAAATGAGCATAAGAAAAAATGAAAGGCGATCATATAACAAAAGATAGAAGGGAAGAAGGAGGAAATATTTAGGCACTGCATTAGCCATAAGGATTCTGGTGTTGACATCCAATCTGGACTACTGTTTTGGGCAGGTTGCAGAGAATGCAAATTTTGTAGACCTATTGTAAAAGGTTTGAAGCACTGGTTGTTTTTGAGGTAATAACATCTTCTCAAGGTGAGACATCCCTTTTAATTCTTCCTCTGGAAAATGGGAATACGTAGCTGCTTCAGTGCAGTGTCTTGTCTTAAATGTCTGTATCTCACTGTAAGAAAGTGTTTCTCAACAGGAAAAGTGTTAATGCAGTCATGGAGAGCCCTCAAGTTCCCTTGAGAGAACTACAGTAGCAGAAAAGAAAGCAGGGAAAATGGAGTATTTAATTTAAAAGGAAGGGTAAATGGCCACTGGAAGGATCATATGAAGAAAAGCTACCAATCTGCCAGAGAGGTACAGCTTGTTTGTTCTGTTTTGTTCTTTTAAGAAGAGTTCTGAGCAGGAAGAAAAGCTGCACCTTAGCCAATGCGACTCATGATTTTGCACCACATGGGATTATTTATCTTACTTCATCGTTGTAAGAACATCTGTGGATTGGAATAAAACAAAACTAAAAGATCTCCTGCAACACCAGCGTAATTAGGGAAAAAACCAGAAGGGACACTTCCTAAGGTGAGCTGGAACCAGTGAGCCAAAGAGCAATCCCTTCTATTTTTAGCAGGACCAATACATTGCCCTCGCCTACAAGATGGGAATGCATACTCCTTTACATCAGCTTTCCTTTAAGAAGTAAATAAAAACTTAAACCCTAATGGAATCCAGCTACATCAAAAACAAATGGGAATATTATGGACATGCTTGAATCTCACTCTGACGGTACATCTAACCTCTCCCATTGACTGCTCTGCTTCTGCCACACTTTTTTGTGCGCCATTACTGGAATTCATTATTTATTAAGTACTCCAAATCTAAAAGAACGTGAAACATGCCTCTAGGAAATGTGAAGAATTTAGATTCACGCTCGTTTCACCATTTTGCTTGGCTAGTATGTCTGCAGTCAGGGAAAGGTTTCACAGGCCATTTGCAGCAAATGGCATTTTGGCCATCAGACCATGACAATTAGTCTATTGTCATCAGAAAGCTTTGTGATGGAAAATTCATAGGAGCTACGTTAATTGATGAATCACTAGATAAGATTTATTGAGTATGGGTTCCTTTTTGTGTTTGTGACAGGACTTCAGCAAGAGGCAGTTTTAGCACAAGAGGAGCTCAGTGAAACAGAACCACCTGGTATAGGTACTTCAGGAGCTGCTCAGGGTTTTCTCTGCAGTTGTCCATGGGGTGTCCAGCTCCCAGTTTCTGCTCATCCTTAGCTACTACACCATTTGCTTTCTCAGGAAGGAGAGCAAGGATATGAGTAAAGATAAGTGGCTTTAATAGGAGATGCAAGAAAACACACAGCCAATCTTTGAAATCTGCTGCACAGAGAGAAATTCCCAGTGTAGTTCTATCCAAATTCATTTTCTGAATTTCATTCATAAACTCTTAACATTTAGCAAAAACTTACTGAAAATTAGAAAAATTTCAAAGCTATTCATTAAAATGAGGGTTTTTTTCCATGTCAATTTCTGATTTTTACTGCATTTTACAGGCAAACCAGTATCTCAATCTTTGATTTGCTGTGAAACAGCATCTCTGTTAAAATTTACAGGTTTTTTATTATTTAGCAGCTGGTTTGGATATTAATTGTTTAGCTCTTCCAGCTATACTTGTAGCGTGAAAAAAAAATACAGAAGCTTGAGGTAAAGGAGGGGGAAAAAAAAATAATCAACAAGCCACAAAAAATACAGCGTGATTTTTAGATGACATGTATTATAAAACAATTTTCTTTCAGTTACAGGAATGGACTGCCATTATTCTGTCTGGGGAGTTTTGGCCTTTCTAAGTTTGGCTCTCATTTTTTCATTGATACTGAATATTTCACACTATATGAAAAAGAAACAAGAAGGTAAGCAAGACTGTCTCTGTAAGGAATGGAATTTAAGAGCTTAAAAATACCTGCAGAGAATGCTACTGATTTTGACAGGTGTCAAACCAACAAACTACTTCTCTGAATCTTACAGTTATCTTTCGACTAGAATGATTCCAGTTGTGAGGATGAAACTGTTCAATTATTTAGGAGAGTCAGATAACATTACAGGATGATCACTAGCTGCCTAATCCGCTACTAAAAGCAGCTACTCAAATTCATCCTCTGAAGATAAACCAACAGCATGTGTATATGGTGAAGAATTTATTTCTGGCTAATGTTTTATTTTTAAAAGTGTATTTTTAAGATGAATAACTCCCCTTTTGTAGAACAGTTTTTGATGCAACTGATTTAACGTATGTACTTTAATTTAAAAGTGATTTTGAGTAGCTGAAGTAATACAAAATACATTTAAGAAAATTGTATCCTCTTCAAATTCCTAAAAGCTTATTTGAATTTCAGATATAAAAATTCTGTACTCACTTTATTTGGAACAAAAAATTGCTTTTCATCATGGGATTCTAGTGCTTAATCCAATGTGTCAATAATAATAGTAATGTGTTTAGTCTATGGAACTAATTTGTTTTATTTATGTTAGAGGATGACTACAGTCATGCTCTGTTTTTGTTAAAATTAACTAAGATTTTTCACATAACTGCCTAAGGCAGTACTACCAATCAGCTGTACAATTCTCACCATTCCCATTCAGGAAAAGTGACTTTACACTGGGAAATCTGCTCCTTATGCTGCATGCATATGGATGGGAAGGCAAACACAGGTAGATTGAACCACTTGAAACATATTCACATGCATAGATAATTTAGGTAAGCAGGAGGCTTACACCTATAAGCAGAATTCACGATGAATAGCTGGCGGGCTATTAAAAGAGAGCCTGGAGTGTTCTGGGAGAGGGAGGAGGGCATTGCCTTTTTGTTTTTTGTCTTTTAGTGTTACTAGGCAGACATTTGTGTGATGAAAAATCACAGCCATTTACAAAACTAACCTTGAGCAAGGTTGCAGTCAGATTGGCTGATGCTACAGTATTCATGCTATCAGAGTTTTACCATGGCAGATTCTGGAGTTCTGGAGAACAAGATAGAAAGTCATGCATTCCTGAGTTATTAATCAAGCTCTAGCAATAAATCTTTCTGCCTCAGTTTCTTCATCTGCAGATCTCTTTCTTTCAGAGACAGGAGCAACTCTGAACTGCCAGTAAAACAAACGAACCTTTCATTTTCTAATATAAACACATGATGTGCCTCCTTAGGCAGAGGGGGAAAAAAAAAGAAGAGTTAGAAGCAGAAAGAGGAGGGAACAAGAAATTAATCCCATGTGTTACAGTACACTTCTGGGAGAAGGGACTGTATTTGATGCTTAACAAAATACAGATTGAAGACCTTCTTGTAAACTAACACAGAGTCTGTAGCATAGCACAGAAACATAACACAAGCTTTTAAAATTATTATTCAAAAGTAATTGAGTGAAATGGGACAACTGAAAGTGCTTAGATGCCACAGCTTTCAATTTCACTCTCTACAGTGAAGACAAAAGCATGTCAATTAAGACAATTATCTGAATTGTTCTTAAGGAGCACATTTCATTAACTTTTCACTTTTTAATTTTTTTTTTCCAGCTAAAACGTATAAAGACAATGAAGACGACACTGAAAGGTAAGCTGTATAAGTAATCCTTCTCTGAGAAGAGTAAAATAAGCAATAAATGGTGATAGATGTCTTTGAATTTTCTTCTGTGCCACCCCTCCACCCCTTACGTGGCCTGCCTGGAGATACTGGAGAACAGAATGATTGTTTAAAAAAAAAAAAAAAAAAAGAAAAGAAAAGAAAAGAAAAAGGCAGGGGAAAAATTTTCATGCAAGAGATGCCCTCCAGACATTTCATGAAGAATAAAAAACAGCATGCTGATATGGTAACCTTCAATACCGAAGGAAGCATGATATATTGTGTTAAGGCACTATTTACTACTTGGAATCAATGAATCCATAGTAAAGAGAACACTCAGAAAACAATGAGGAATTATGATCTGTTATTTCATTCTTGTGGAACAATAATTTGTATTTGCATTTCTTTTACACATTGCATTCCAAAGCAATAAAGCAGTTTGCATTGATTCCAGATGCTGGACAGCTCCCCATCTGTCACCAAGTTGGTTGAATTTACTCCATATTAAAGTTACTGTGGAAAACAGAGATGGAAGGAATTTCATCTCAACTCAAATATATCAGGCCCTTGAATCAAAACCACAAAAGCTGCTGCCCTCTCTCCAAAATCAATCCTCATTAACATACTCCCTGGAAACTGGAAGTCCCTCTGCTTTTGTTTGTTATTGCCTGCTCAGCTGAGAAATACCACTGAAATAAAGTAGCATATTTCATTACTTTATCCTTGACAAGGCACAGGATAGGGATGCAGCAGGATCAGACAGTGAACCTCTCAACAATACTCATTTTTACAAACATGTTTGAAAACATTTTCAAACAACACCAGGTTGCAAAACACAGAATGCCATTAAAAACTCAAAGTGAAACTTTGCTTTGATCTTGTTTAGGTGCATCAACATAAGAATTTCAGTTCAATTTCAATTCAGTTTTAGTTTAGAATATGGGAGAAGAAAGGACACTTCCTTCTGTGAAGTTGGTGTTACCATCTCCTTGGTTTTTAGGTCACATACAGTCTTCTGCTATGTGTGTGTAAAATGGTAAGGTAAAAGTAGAATAGTGGGGTCCTAAATAAAGTTTATGAAACAATTTAAAATTATCTTTCTATGCCTTTTCTAGCTATAATGACTGCTACAGAGGAGATGACCCAGTTTATGGCAATCTCAGTCAAGATATTTTAGGTAAGTTTCATTTTAAGAACACTTGTCTCTTCAGTGTCTATAAGAAATGCAGAATTAAAAGCAGACTGGCCAACACATTCTGTGTTTCTCAGCAGCCTTGAGAATCTTTCCCTTTAAAAAAAAATGCTTTACTCATACCTACTTATTGCCTACATCGAATTACATACTGCACTATTTGTAAGATGAGGTCATGTATAGAATTTGACTTTTTTTTTTTTTTTTTTTAAACTACCCAAACAGTACTGTTCAGTCAAATACTTTGAAACCAACAGCTTTACTATATGTAAAGCTGCACCCATTTAAATAACACACTTAGCACACACACTTCCAAGCAATCTAAGACACAAATTGCCTTCTGTCCAAAGTCGTTGCCCCCAGACAAGCTAGCAAATAGTAGCACATACCTGCTCTCAGTGCTGTCCATTCACAAATGAAAGATGTTAACAGAAATGCTGAAGCACAGCCCACGGTGGCTGGAGGGTGGGCAGACTGCTTCACTGGGCCAAAGTGAAGAATCATCATCCATACCGTATTAGAGACAATAAAATCATAACTGCAGCTGGATATTGACCGGTGGATGGTATAACACTCAAAGCCTACTAGTGTTTGCATGGCTCTGAAGCTGAAAAGTTGTTTGTACTGACAAATAGATAGGTGTGTCAAGTTACTCTTAATCAAAGATGTTCCAACAGCTCCAAATAACGTCCAGTTAGGGAATGAGAAACTTCCCATCCACCCACATGGACAGAATATTTTTCGCTTCAGAGTGTTTGCGTCAGAATGTCTTAGCTGATTGCCTCTCTATAAGCAGAGGAAGACAGAAGCAATATCTGTGTCACTACCAAACAAGTGAAACTTCTAACGTAGTAAACTGGGGGGGTGAGGAGGTACTTCTGTAACAGAGGATTTGTTAATTGGATCTTTTAATTCTGAGTAGTGTGTCTTAGTAACAGAAATACTTTTCTGCTTTGGTACATTACAGAGGAATGTTGTTACGAGCAGATGAAGTCCCAGCCTCAAAGGCCAGTTAATGAACCACAACAGGTATCTTCACTTTTAATTTTGGATTTCTGAATCACAGTGATGTGGCCTGTCACAGAGTTCTTGCATTTATTCCATGACAATAAGTATCAAAAATATTCCTGCTGCACATCACAAAAATTACCATACTTCAGTGTCTCAGTTTATCAGAGAATTTAAGCACATTTGAATTTTTGTTCAATCTGGGTCATTAGTAAGGGAGGAGAAAGATTACAAACAGATCATTTCCATCCATGTGGCATGATAATGCTCAGTCACAAGCATGCAAATCAGGCTCAGTTAGACATGCATCACATGATAATCACAAATTTGACTGATTCTCTCCTGCCCAGTATGAAAATCTATATTCCTTAACTTGTTAAAGACAACCAATTTTCTATTGATTTGTATTTTGTTGTTACTTGAAATCTAAAAGCATACAAGTTTCAATTGAAATCTGTCTATAATTGAAGCATTCCCAAAATCAGTTTTGGAATTGCTTTCTAGGTATTTCATAAAGAATCATTCCCAGTCTCTCCCTTTTTATTTAAAGATTTGTTTTCATAAACTTCACAGAAAATTCCAGTGCCAATAGCGCTCAACAATTTGGTTTGAAAAACACAGAGAAGCAGTGGAAACAAAACATGTATTTTACACTAGAAATCAGATAACATATGCAGAAAAGTCACCCGTTACTACTTTTTTTCTGCACAAAGTCTATGAAAAGTATTGTTGCTAATAATGGGATTCCAATAAATCAATTTGAGTGAAGAAAAACAGATCAAGCAATGCCCTGCATCTCAAAGAACCTGGAACGATTACATAAACTGCTCTTATTTCCCACAGAGAATCTTTGAAATGTTACCTGGAAGAGGGCTTCCTCTCTGCCACAATTTTAAGGGTATGAGCCTTACACAATTGTAAGGATATAACATAACTTAATTAGCATTAAGTTACATTAGTCTGTTTTCTGTGCTATTGTAACTTAATCATTTGTACTTCTAATAATGTAATTTATAGCTAGTTCGGGTAAACCTCAGCCTCTACTATGATTACCACGTAGACATGTTCAAAACATTAGACATAATTTTAAAGCAGACACAACTACTGAATGTTAATTATAAAGTAAACTTCCTTGCAGGTGGAATCAGTTGATCAGATGTGTTATGCCTCACTTGATCACAGCACCAAGGGAAAACGCAGAAAACCAAGGAGGAAGAAAGACCCTCCATTAGAGGATGAAGAAGAAAGATCATCTAAATCCACCATTACAGCTTCCAAAGCTTGCATTTACCTTAACAGTGAGCAACTGGCTGCTGAAAATACAGCAAACATAGAAGCCATTCATGACGATCCCATAAGATTAATGGGTTTGATTCATAGGACAAATGGAGAGAACATTTGAAGTGGCTTCATGAACCAAGTATGAAATCAAAGTGAGATCTGCTTTATTAATTCTGGAGGAAGAGTGAATGATTAGAGACAGTACCCTGCCAAACTTAAATTACAAACAGTGGTGTGAAGCAGCTAAGTAAAACATTCCAAATCATCTTCAAAACACATGTATGGATTAAGCAAAAAATAGCTGTAGGCTCATGCTGCCCTTTTAAAGGGACTTTCCTTCTGAATACATTGCGAAAGGGAGCTGTGAACACAGAGATACCAGCTTCTACATGGTAAAGTAAAAATTAATACTTTGTTTAAAAATAACCATCAAACTTCATACAGTCCTAGAAGATCCACTAAGTTGCCTGTAGAACTCTCACAGAGTATGACTACTCTTCTACATAGGTTTTAACAGTGCTTTTGAAAAGAAATGGCGTTTCACATATGCACACTTAAAGGTTCAGATGCTTTCCCAATTAAAAATAGGTCCGCATTCAAGATTGTGTATTTTCCCATGGTGAACAGTCTACAGCATGGGTGTCCAACCTTTCAGCTTGCCTGGGCTGCACTAAGTGAAAAGAAACTGTCTTGGGCCAATGTTTTGGTTGCTGCTGAATGATGGGGTGCGCTAAGGACCAGCTTGGACTGCTTGGCTGGGAAGAGCCACTGCCATGATGGGATGGGGTGAGGAGTGAGGCTAATTACTAGTGGTCTTGGGCTTCATGCAGCCTGTTATATATCCTCACTTGCCTTTTATGAGTAATATCAGCGTACATCTCCAATCTTCACTCCTCTACTAACGTAACACTTTTTTTGTATAACAGGACTTTTTTTGTACTCAAGAATCAGTAAGGATACTGGCAAATGATTTCTAACCATCAGCCTTTGCCAGAGAATTTTTCTAATTTTCTATTTTATATTTAAATTCCTAGTGCCTTTGTCAATAAACTTCTTCACAAAAGTAGAAAGAACTACTTATTTCCCCACGTAATTTACATTCTATGTGCACATTCATCTTTACACTTTCAACTCATCAGAAGGTAAGCTTTTATAGAGTGGGGATTTATTTTTACGTGGCACATTCTGGGAGTCAGTAAGTAGCAGAAGGAAACAGTAACACATGTTGATGTGCTATGCCTACTCTCTAGGTTTTGGACAGTTCTGTCTTTAAAAACAAAACAAAAAACAAACAAAAAAAAACCCTAACAGCAAGTAAATAAATACACCCATGCAGAGCATGGTGCCAAGGAGCTTGAAATGCTAAAGGGCATTCAGAGTGCCAGTGTCTAAGGTTCTGAAGGAGACAATAGCTCTAAACCAGTTACAAGAACCAAACCACCTACAGTACAAAGAGCTAGTCCATAGATGCAACATATCTTTGAAGGGGACAAAAAAAAAAAAAAAAAGTTAAAGAAATCTGGTCCATGTTTATTTTAGTTAACAAACCTCTTTGAACAAGCTATGTCTTAACTCCTCTTCTAGACCAAAAGGAAAAAGCAAACCCCTGCAGACCACGCTGCTCAGTAGTACTATGAGCTGTCTTGAGCTGAAATCAAATCAATACACATAGGTCAATCCAAAATAATGCCTCCTATTTATTTCCATGGAAACTACAACAGACACAAAGAGCACAACAATGCTACTTGATAGAGCAAATTCCCAGCTACAAAAGTTTTTTGGTATAGCAACCACCATCAGCCATGTATTTTCACCAGCAACAAACAAGAGCCTCCATGTTGCCCTCACAAAAATCTGCATTAGTGGAGCTGATCAACTGCTGCTGTCACCACTGCTGAAACACACCACCCACAGTCTCATTGTGTTCACACCCGCTGTTTGGTTCCAGAAACATTCAGTAAGAGTTGATGAAAGTCAACGGGAGCAATGTTTTTCACATGGAGGAATTCAATTACACACCTTTACTTCATATGCACATCCATGTCACATGCCATTTTGTCATATGGCCCCTCTGCTGCCACCTGCCGTGTGACAACAAAATATAAGAGAATATTGGCAGGATACCTGTACTGCCACCAACATCTGCCTCTAACATAATAAAATAGGAAGTACTACTTTCAGAGCTACCCTCATAATTATAACAAAATAAGAAAAGGAGACGTTAGGTATAGTCTCAGTAACAGAACCTGTATTTATAGCGTTATATATATTTTGAAGCAGAGGGAAGCAATGTAAAACTTTCTCGCAGAAAGCTTAGCACTTAAAAGCATGTTGGAGAAGCATATTATACGGTGGCAGAAGTAGAAGACTTTGAAGGGAAGAACAGAGACAAAAGCAGAGTATTAAGTAGCACCACTGAATTTTCACAGGTCTATGCCAGACATCCTCCAGCAATCGCAACAGACTCTTGGTGATATCATACTTTCTAGAATACAGATAAATTGGATGTTGGTGGATCAAACTCCAAAATAATTACGTAACTCCTATTTGCCACTGCTGACACACACAAAAAATAATGGTACTGGGATAAGCTTATCTTCCAACACCTAAAGTTTTTCAAGAACTACATTATGATTCCAAGTAATTTCCATAGATGAATGAACTATTTCTGTTCTTTAAATAAATTTGCTTTCACACCTGGATAAACTTGTATTCTGTTGCTGTTCAAAAGACATACCCAGATACATCCAAAAAGCTAATTACAGTTTACATTTAGAACAGATAACATGGAATTTCATACTCTCTAAGTACTTTCTCAAGAAATAAAGGGAAATAATTACCTTAACAAATCCAAGAAGAATGCAGTTCATAAAGTATGTTTCCTAATGTTCATCTATACTCAGAGCCAGAATAAAAGTGACCTACTAAAACATTTCTAAAAGACAATCTTAAATTGTTGAAGAAAACATAACACTGGAATGATGTAAGATACATTGCGTGCGCATGCACATTGCGGAAATCACCCACTGAAGACTGTCTTTATATGCTAGTGTAGGCCTTACTGAAGCTGTTTCCTTATTCCATTCAACAGCACTTAAAATCACCAAAGTCTTGATTATAAGTGCTGCAACAGTGTAAAAGCAGGAACAAACAAGAAAAACGACATCAAAACCAAACCAAAGAGCACATGCCCCAAAACGAAGTTCAGTCAAATAAATTTATCCTTTTCTGAAGTTTGGAAAGTTGACATGGAGCAATACAGTTAAAATAGAGCATACTTGATCTGATACCACTAAAACTGTCTCCTTGCTAAGAAAGAACACAGGAAGAAAAACCCTTGGGACCCTGCCAAATCTTTCTCATGTATTTGTTGTAGATAGGTAAACCTTTCCTGAGAATTTAGTCCTGAAATAAAATTTTTAAAGCTGTGTAATGCAATAGAAAGCATCGCAATGACAGCAGAGCAACAAGATCCCAGGCTGCAGCAAGGGAGGACTTGCACAAATGCAACAGCTGTGGGCAAAAAAAATAAACAAAAAAAAACTGCTTACCTTCAGAAGGCCTCAGGAACACAAGGATCTCCAGGTAGGACAACCTTTCCTCCACTGCCAATCCCTAAAAGAGGTCTGGGAAGGGGTGGAACCAGGATCCACCCCCTTCTGCTTACATGGGTGCACTGCATGCACCTGAGCTTCCCTGTCTTTGCCCTGCCTTCTTTCCAGGTTCTCCATTACTTTTTCAAGCCACAACTCAGCATTTCCACTGCAAGCAGGTATTTCTTCAGGACATGTATTTATTGAGAATATACGGTATGTCAGGTAGAATTTTGATAGGACAGAGAAGAACATAACAACCTAGTTTATTTCAGGTATTTTGTATTGACATGTTTGTACAACAGGAATGGAGCAGAATTCAGCAGACACTGAGTTTGTTACGGTCTTAGTACTAGTAGATTAAGAATCAAGATTAAAATCAAAATTGAATCATAAAAGTTTATCAGCAGATAAAAAGATAACACAAATCACATTCTAATATTAAAAATACTGCTAAATATAAAATTCAAATAAATTTATACAAAGGAAACCTGGTTCCTAGCAACACCTGATGAAGCCCAAGAATCATGAAGGGCACTGTATGAAGAACGCTGGGTTAGTTCCTGAAGATTAATGTTACAGGGAAGAATAAATCAGCATTAATTGTGTATTACAGTAACGTTCCTATCTACTAAGGATCTCTTCCTTAAAATCCTTAAGTGGTATTAATACATTTGTGATTTTTGAGAACAAACAGACCACAAATAAAAACTATAAAACGTTATTTTCTCTGTATGCCATAAAGGCTCCTTGGTGAGTTTTGATCAGGATGTTGTCTAAGGGATTGCTACGATTTCGGTCCTTCCCATCGGTGTAGCTTAGTTTTCTGGATACCCTGTACGAAATAATAGTTTAGAATAAAGAAAGTTACACAAAAATACTGTAATTGCTGACTACTTAATGAACAAAATGAAACAAACAAATCACTAAAGTGAGATATCTGAACACCTTGACTATGAACAGCAGTGGGACTCCTTGCAGCCTTCCTATGTGTGTTCAGCTGAAGGGGTAACTTTTTAATATCTATTTTAAATGAATTTGGCTTACACTGATGAATAAGTGTAGCAATGTAGTTATAGGAAAGCATTCACATTTTTTCAGAAATGTCTTTTTCATAATCAATTTCTAGATAAAGGCAGTCCTTTCCTTTCCACAACTGGCTACAACGCCATTGAAGTTTCACTCCTGGGATGTTTCTTACAAGTACAGAAGGCTAAGAATCTCACACCACAGGCCTAAGGAATCTTGCCACTTTACAGTTCGTTTAGCTACAAATCAGCAAATATGCAGTTGCACAATTAATGAATGAAAAAATAGATTCCAATGCAGATGGCTCTGCAAGAAAGCACTTTGACATTCTCATTTCCTCTGCTTTCTGAAACTTCTCTATTTGCATGCAATAAGAAAAGAAAAACCTTTTCCTTCTTCTGAACAATTACTAATTGCTAAATAATGAACTGCCTTTCTGATTATGTTCTCCATACAAATAGCTTAAAAGTACATTCAGGCTTCCTTTGAAATTTTAATTTGCATATTGTCAGAAAAATGTTTTATCAGCTGTTGGATCATCTGAAGCATAGTGAAAATATTTACTGGCTTTGAGACCAGAAAGGTAGCAAATTTTGTGGTGCCAAGTGGGATCTTCTGGCAAAACATTTAAAAATTATTTTATAAAATAAAGCAAAACTATTAGAGAACTTCTAATGCTTTTTAATTATGTGCCTATTAAATTGGCTTGTAATTAAAAACCCAGGAGATCAGAAACTTGAGAAACCTTCAACAGTCATATTTTCTGTGAAAAGTAGATGTTATAGGCCAGTAATCAGGGCACTGAAAGAAGTTTTCTTGTCCAAGAGAAAACAGTTATCGCTAATAGTGACAGTCGATTTGAATGATAATACACTGAACTTTCCAGAAGTTAAGAATCTGAGAAGACTTGCCAGCTCAAGTACACAGCCTGAGTCAAAAATATTCTGTAGTTAATCATGGCTGAAATAAGAAGTACCCCCTATAATGAACACAAAATGAGCTACTAGAGTAGCTGTTCAAATAGGCAATCTTGTTTTCATTAACCATCTATGTTGGCTTCTGGCTAGTTTTTTCCACAGACACTTGCCTCCTCGTGTTCAAGCCTACAGGTTGGCTTAATTTGAGCTCTCTCGAGAATCCATGCCCATTTTCATTTTAGAAGTAGTGATTTAAGCAACAACCTCCATACCATTAACATAAAAGTAGAACAGCAAGAATTTCTGACATTTCTCCAAAGAAACTTACTTTTGGGGGCGTTTCAGTGCATTTCCAGGGCTACTGTAATGTGGCATTGTCCTAGGCCAACTAGAGTGGACATCTGTATTCTCCAATTCTGGTGATGAAAAATAATATTATGAAAAGGACAAGAACTATGCAGAGTAACACAAACACTATAATACATGGTTAAAATACTTCAAGCATATATATACTTCAATCAGCAAATTTCCATATGGAAATATTCTAATGAAAAAGGTTGTGGCAAAATTCATTTTCAAAAACATGCTATACCCCATACTTGTAAGTCTCAAATACACTCAAGAATAAGCATTTTGAAAAACTAGCTTATCAAGACCATTAGTAAGAAAAGCAGAAGAAAGAGATGATTCCAGGAAAAAAAAAAAAAAAAGGAAAAAAAAAGGAAAAAAAAAGGAATGGATAAAGTGTGAGTTAAAATTTGAGGAAAGTAAAATAAGACAGATGGGAATATTCAAAATCTTTGTAAAACTTATGTATCAGTAATGAAAATGCAACAATGCAAACAAACAAAACAAAACAAAACAACCCCAAAACTGATGCAAGCAAATGCATTTCTTTTACCATTTTCCCTTTGTTTTGTAGTTGATAATATTTCATGAAGTCTTCCACAACATTTTTCCTTA